TCCGACTTTGTCAGGCATGTTTGTTGCCAAGTCCAAATTTTGCGGGAAAGGACCTTTACTGATTATCCACAATGATGAGATACCTTGTATATAAATAACACTTGCAGAATTGCCCATCTGGCAAAGCCTAGCTGTCCTCTGTGTTCAGTTTCTGTTAATCGTAAGATGTGTTAGCAAAATATGGATCTCAACTGAGATTTAGTTCAGCAAATTCTAATTTCTCTGCGTGTGTTTGTGAACTGTCTTGTAACCTCTTCAGATGTGAGAGGAGCAAGGGAAGGCTTCTTACTTTTCTTGTTACAGGTACCTAATAATCCGTGCTCCTCAGATAGAGACCTGAAAGCATTAGTTAGAATCAAGCGTAGTGTTTTCAGGCACAATGTAAGTTTTTCCCATGAAGTTCTTCCGTTGCTCTTTTCTGACATTCAGACCCCTGCTATTCCTGTCTTGGGCGTCTCTTGAGGAGAGGTTGTCAGTTGTGATGAATTGTGCATTCATTTTGTAACGGGGGCAAGCAATCAGTAGGGAATAGGCCTAACTAACACTCCTTTCACTTATGGCTTGGGTTGAACTTGAACCTATTTCTCCAGAGGAATAGTAGTAGAACGTTAAACTACTATGTTTCTAGTCTTTTAAGTAACTGTTATTTTATGAATAATAATTGAGATCAGTAAGATCAATTTCTGGTATTCCTGGAGTTCTGTTGCATGATCAAGAAGTAGTAACTAGTTAAGAACCACGAGTCTGAGCTGAATAACACTTAATGCAAAGTAAGCATGCAAGAATGTTTGATTTTTTTTTTTTTTTTTTTTTTTTAATTTTATGGGATACATTTATTCTTTTCAGGTTATCTAGGTTACCCATCTATATGCACCCAGAAGTGTAAAACACTAAACTTCTTTTGCTTCATACAAATATTGTGGTGCATTAAAACGATATACAGACCATATGAAATAAAAAAATAGATGTGCAGATAGTTCTTTAAATATATATACTATGAAATTACATGCTGCTAAGATTTATTAGATACCTTTTGTTTCATCATGTCCATGATTCATTAGGCCTGATTTGGAAATCACACTCATGTTGCTTGAGACTATGTATACTGGAAGAACCAGAGTTACATCATTGTTCCCCTCATGAGTGGATGGAAAGGAAACTTCTAGTGTTTCCCCTCCACTATAATACAATAGCCTACATATAGCAAATGTGCTTATAGTGTTCATTTGCTAATGTTGTTCATGATATACTGGACCAATTTCTTTTGCACATGAAAAGAGGCTGGCCTGCTACAGTTAAACATAATATGACTAGATATATTCTCACAAAGTGAGATCATAGTTTGATGGGTTCATTTTGGATGACAGTAGCTTAGGGTTTAATAAGAGTGACAACTAGGAAAATTAATATATGGAAACATTCTGAATTCTGTTCACTTTTATAATCTTCCCATCTTCTTGAGTTGCTTAGGGAGTACTGAATTCTCTAACAAGCAAGCAGTGCATATCTTCCAGACCTCAACTGGGAAGATGCAGTAGGAATGGGGAAAATGGTGGATTGTTAATCTGCCTATTTTTCCCTTGAAGAAGGAATACCATGGAGTAAAAGGATAAGTGCAAAACCTGATTCTGGCCTGCCTAGTGGCAGACAGTGTGTTGTACTACAGGGAGATCTCTAGCACATGAAGACAGCAGAGGTCTCTCATTTTAAAGATACATGGTCAAGAGTGACAGGAGAGCACAAAGGGAAGACAGAGAGCTTTCTGAGCTTGGAAACCATTATCCATTAGAATAAACTCTGAATGGAGTGAGCGTTGGGTTTATGGCCAAAACGAGAGAAGGCTGAATGAGAGAGAAATGTGGGGACACTACTGAGAGAACATTAAAGAAAGTTTTGCATTTCTGTGGATTTGTATACCTTTGGGGATTTCTTAAAATAATTCACTGCAGCAGCCTGTATCTTATGTAAGTCTTAGATTGATCCTTGACAGCTTTACCACCTGGACTGATGAACTAGTTCCTTGCATTTGTTCTTGATGGACATGCAGGTTTAGCTTCCAGGTGCTTTCAATCTGTGTGTGTCTTGCTGGGGTGGGAGTGAGAGATTGATTATTACTTTTTACCTAAACCACAAACGTTTTACTTCAAAATGTATTGTTTCTATATTCTAATTTTTTAGAGAATATAAATACACAATTCATTATCTTGAGTTACTAGATGTTAGTGTTAAATGAACCAGATACATTCTAACAAGCTCAATGTTGGAAAATCAGATATTGCAGATAAGACCTTAGAAAATATGCTGAAATGTTGAGGGGGAAAAAAGCAAACAAACCCAAATAATACCTACAAACATATGTAAGTGCTCTGTAAAATATAATTTATGAATACATCACACACATAACAGATAAAATGGCACTTTTTTGTGTTTTAAATATTCAGGGATGTGTTTGTCCCTGAAGGTTAATCTATAAACCAAATGTGGAGCTCTGGAAAGGTGTTCAAGTAAGTGGGCTGTTTTGGAAAATCAGTGCTCATCCTGATGATCAGCTTTGGATCTAGCTAAGTATCCCAACTCAACTGTCTAGTGAATATCCTTTGGAGAAAATGTGGCCAGTACTGTAATATCTGATGAAAGTGTGTTGTTGGTGAAGAAAGCAAAGCCGCAGCATCACAGATTATTTAGTTGTAGTTTAAAAAAAAAATCCAAAACAAACCCACAATAGAAAAAATAGGAAACAGGCACAAATTCACTAGCTCAGATTTCTCTTCTGACACACATGCACTCAACTTCTGAGTGGATCACATATTTCTAATTAAATGGGCTTCTACTTATTCATTTGCTGGAGGCGGGTTTTTTTGATTAACAGAACAAAAGGTTAATCATACAAATTTGCTATCTCATAGCGTTCTGCAGCAGGAGAGACTAGGTAGCTCCTTGTTCTCCCTACTCGGCTGCCAGTCAGGTTTGTTATATGCAATGCAAACACAGAGCTTTCCCCTCAGGCCCCTGTGACATACATTTCTCAATATATTCTTGGTAGAAGGTGAACGTTCTTCATGTTTGTGACTTCAGCTGTCCTAGTGTAAGTTTGTAGATCATGTAATGGATATGTGAGCTGTGCAGGAGATTGTCATCTTTTTTCTGTCTCTGTAATGGACTATAGCAGATGTGCAAATCCCTGCCCCTTTAGGAAGGACCTCTAATTGCTCCTACCTATTGTACATCTATGATTAAAACACAGAGCAATGGAGTTATCAATGAAATCACAGTGTACTTGGAAGCAGATGGACCAGAGTTTTTCTTAATACCGTATTAATAAGATCTTTTATAATTACTTGTCTGAATTTACCTGGTAATTACAAGTTAGCAACTATAATTCTCTTGGATGGACTATTTGTTATGATTTCTTTATCTCTCTGTTGTAAGGAATGGTTCACACTTGAAGCAGCAAACTTTCATCTCTGCAAGTGACCTATGTTTATGGTTATGATTGCGATAAAATAGAAAAAAAGCAACTTTGAATAGACACACTGAAAGTATAAACCACAAAAGTCTAATTCTCCTCTGTGACTTGTTTTCGTTTTGGGGCTCTGAAATTCACTTAATCTTTACACAGTTGTTGCTTGCGGGGGCGGTCCAGCTGAACTCTGTCTCTGGAGCCCTGGTATGTGCCCATCGCGTGGGAATTGCTGACAGCACAAACACGCCACAAGCTGCTTTGCTACCTGGTGTCCCCCGGCCCTGTCATGTCTACAGCACAGATGATGTCTCTCACACAATGGGGAGAGACTGTATAAGCTAGCGAGTTGTTTGTTGTTTGAACTTTATGAATAATTTTTCACTTTCATTGCCATACTGAAAAGAAAATTAGTTGCTTGAGATTAGACTAAAAAGCCTTTTGAAATGTTTGTTTTGGGAAAACAAAAGAAGTTGTAATTGTATGAAACATTTGATCCCACATAAAGTTTTTGTATATTTTCCAGGAATTCTTAAACATTCCTTAGAAATAGATTGAGTAGTTTCTCAGCAAAACATCCTTTTCAGGTTCCTACTTAGTATTTTTTAAAATACCAGATGCTTTAATCTATTTTCAATTTTTTTTTCCTAATAGAAAAAAAAATTTGTAAATTCAGCACGAATGCAAAATCTGACAACTGCCCTCTTCACACAAAATGTCTCCTGATTTTAGTTACTATTCTTGGACATCTGTTTGGTCTGTAGGTATGTCTAAGGAAAGGTGATATGAAAGCTATCTTGCTTCTCAGCTGCTTTTGTCAAAGATATGGAAGTTAAACTCTGCATAGACTGTGTGCTGAGAGATTTCCAGGAGTTGAGATAGACGGATTCTGGGGGTAAGGGGTGCTTTGTTTTGTTTTCTTGGGTTTTAGGAATAGGTACATGAATCGGTCACATCTAAATGGATTCCCTATATTCAGAGATTATCTGAGTGATGTCTCAAGCTCTGTAAATTGCCGTTCCTGTGATAAGCCTTTTGCGTTACCCATCCGTAATGTTTAATCTCTGAACACTGAGCTGTGTGACTGCTGCTGGTCCATTTGTGACCACACCAGCTCTTCTGCAATGGCTTGGAATTGGATACAGAATACCTGCTAATCTTACATGGATCTGACACCGCAGAAATCAACAATTATAAGGGTGCCCATAATCATATATTCTGTCTCTAAACTGACAGTGAATCCCTTCAGACACCACTTTAGTATATAACTGAAAATGCTGTTCTCTCTGGTATGTAGGTTTACATATATCCTGTGTAAACAGAAAGAGTGCTGATGGTGGATGTAAAGAAAGTGAATAAGAACAGCTTTGTGGGCTTTTCTATCCCTCACCACTCCTCTATATTGGGAGGATGCCATAGCGATAATATGGTGAAAGTACGGAGATGTATTCAGGTAGCTTCTGTTTATACAAGGTGAAGATGCACATAAATCCGCTAGCTGAATGATTCAGACCTGTCAAGTTTCATGCATTATGCACAGGACTTATTCAATTAGCCCCTACCACAGTGCCTATAACTCATGCACTCGCGACGCTGGTGCCACGGCCTTTCTCCCGCTCCGTATCTTACGTGTCGGGCACAGCTGCACGGCCTCCGCTGTACCTGTGGGCCACGCAGGCCGGCCTCCGGCGCGGGGATGGCCGGAGAGGCCATGGTGCTGTGCGCCACCAGAAAGCTCTGTTAGCTGGCAAACCTTCCCTGGCTGGGACTGCGCGGGGCTCTTGGTTGTGCGGCCTGGGCCGCCGAGTTTCATGCAGTGGATTAGAAAAAATTGTGAGGTCAAAGTATTGGCAAAGACCTGGACTTGTCGGGAAAGTTTAATCTGCAAAATGAAGACAGAGGCTGTTAAATCTGTTGATTTTAAATAAGTTGTAACAAATACAAAATAATTGAATTACAATGTCATTAGCGTACATAGGGCTAAAGCTAATTTTATAATCAACGTATAAATTATCACATATAATTTAAACTCAGAAGTAGCACTTTGTTTCCAAGAATAGACCCCCTGTAATGCGTAAAAGAGAAAGGCAGTGCATGACGCCAAAGTCTCAACAAAATGCTTACCTCTTTGTTTTGATACGCCGGATTGTAAGTGTTTTTCCTTTTGTGTTTCAGTAATTCAGAAGATCTAATACCTGAACAAAACTAAGACAGATTTATGTGAGTCATCAGGGCTTTCTTTTGGTTTTTGTTTTGTTTTGGGTTGGAATTTTTTTGTTGCCTTTTTTTTTTAGCATATTAACATTCCTCTGAGACAAGTTGCTTTACCATGTTTTCCAAAAGATGCTTAACTGAAATTAACGGTAGTTTCTCGCCCAGCGTTTTCACCTGTGCGCGGCCTATTTATCTTTCCCGCCCTTGTGTCTCCCCCCCCCCCCGACGTGCTACCCCTCCCGGGGGTTTACTGCACGGACACACCTTCAACAACGGCCGGCGGACGGGCCTGCCGGGCGCGGAGGACGTGGCGACGGCGCCATCTGGAGGCAGAGGTGAGGCTGCGGCCCCAGGCCCTCGGCGCTTGGGTTCAGCGCGCTCGCGGTTGTTGATGTACGCACTCATGCGGAGATGTACGCAAAATCTTTTTTTTTTTTTTTTTAAGGCCACTTTTAGCGTTGCTGGGTGTTTTCTGCATTCTGCTGCTGGTAGTTGTTTGCTGGTTCACTGCCTGGGTATGGCTGTTCTCGCTCTGTCCCTCTATGCATTAGTGCATGAAGTCATGTAATTTCTAGAACCTCATCTACTAACGAAGAAGTGCTCCTCAGACGCTAATGAAGAAGTGCTCGGTCAAAAAATGTGTGTGTTCCTGGTTATATGTCCTGTTTCCAGGTATAGCTTAGAGATCTCAAAGAAAGAGAAAAAGCCTGGGTTAGTAGAAGCGCATTGTACTGCTTGAGAGAAGTTGAGAGCTTTGGCTGCCAGCTGGGACCAAAGCCCTGGTTTTTCTTCACAGGATACTTGCATTGGACGTATTGGAAAAATTCAGTTAAAATAGAGCTGGGAAAGAAAGCTGAGTTGTTCTTTGGTGTGCCCAATCATTTCATGGATTTGCTTCTGTTTTCAATAAATGGTGCTGCTGCGCCTCAGCTTCTTCATGTTTTCCATGGAGGGATTAATTTTGGCTTCCTCCTTTTCATGAAATCCTACGTCCTAGTGGTGGCAAAAACCTGTAGATTTTCAGACAGCTGTTTGTTGGCTTGGCTTCCATCTCTGACTGACTGTAGGTCAAACTGGACGAAGAGCACATCCCTAAGTACAAGGCAGAATGTTAGTATTACTGCTGAACTTCTCCAGATTGGGCACAGGTGAGAGACCCTATGGTTTTAGGCAGGAACCTGAAGAGCTCAGGTCTGCAATTATGGTCACTTAGCAGACAACTGCAGTGTTTAACACGTTTCCAAATTCCCTCCCCTGCAGCTTTTTGTTGCCATCTCTGTGCAAATATAGGGCAGCAGGATTGTTGAATTGGAATGTGCTCATCTGCCTGGGGCACTTCAGTGCAAATTCTGGCAGTTTATCCCAGCCCCACTCTAATTAGCTCTGCACATTTGAAGAGGATGAGATGCCGGCTGTTTTGCAAGGGGTAACCTCCTGTAGAGAAGACAAGGAGAACTGCTAGCTATGTCTTAAATTGCTGCAGTTAGCTTTCCTCAGAGCATGTTGGAAAAGTTTACTTGTTCTTCTGACATTTTGTAGAAGGTTGCTGAAATGTTGATAACCTGGGGGAAGGGGGAGAACAATATTTAGGCAAGTAATTTTCCACAGTGGAATAATATGAATGACGGGTTTGGATGAACACAAGGAATATCTAAAAGACAAATTCTTATAGCAGAGAAGGGTGAAAAGTTTTTCTGCCTCACCTTTCTTTTTATTATGTGCAAGGTAATATTGCTATCCCAGCAGTTTTTAGGAAAGCCTCTGACAGCTTTTAACACAACAACCATTTCAGGGCTCTGGCTGTGGAGAGTGACCTTTCTATAATTGACACAACTCAGGATGAAGCCATTCTTTTCAAAACACAGGTCTCCCAAAGAAACCTTTAACCCCTAGACTGAGAGCGGCCACTTAAACGCAAGCTGTGCCTACTCAGCAAGCAAGGCATTTTAAAGTAGAGCAATTTGAAAGGAAAAAAAAAAAAAAGCGCAGATATTTCAATTTGATCTGCTTGTTCCTTATTAAGAGACTAAGTTCTGGTACAAAATAATAAAACTGCAATTTAAAAGGAATGTAAATTACTTTATTACTGCATTTTCCTATCTGAATGAAAACAAAATTCACTATTAAGATAACACAGTTGCAGGTTTTTTGTAATTACACACTACATCTTGCTAGTACTGGGGATGTCTGAAAGCAGCAGGCAACTGCCATGGGTAGAATAATCCTCAGTGCTGCTTTAAAACTGTAAGTGAAGTCCACCATGCTCTCACTGTAAACAAAGCACGAGATAGCTTTTTGGTTTTGCCTTTAGGCTCTGGAAGTTGTGTTGAACTAGGGATTTACACTGAGACAAAAGTAAAGAAAAATTCCTTTCTTAATACAAATGATAAAGTAGCATGCCTTCATAGTACATAAAAACCCAAAAGTTGGCACTACCATGGAATTGTGGAATTGCTACAGGGATGAGATAGATAGTAATAACATTACAAAAAACTTTCTGAGAGTGAAACCTATTTGTTTGTTACAGTTGCATAAGGATAATGTTAGAATTTTGGTGTAATAAATCTCAATTAGGGGGAAAAGTGAAAAGAAAAAAAAAAAGGCATGTTTGGGAATACTTGCTTCTTTGCAAAGAAGTGAATTAGATGACCTTATGGGATTTTTCTGTGCCTACATTCTGTTAATCTATACCAAAAATATATCATACACTTAAAATTTTGTAGTGGGCTAGACACACGTTTCCATGAAATATGTGACTATCTATGTGCTGTTTCCTTTCTAATTGACAGAATATACTATAAAAGTCAACTTTAATCATTTTAGAGGACACCTAAGATAAACTACAATTTATGTGGAAACACCCAAACTAACGCCAGCTGCAAATCCAAGTAAAGAATGCTTCAGTGTAGAGTTTTTTTGTTTATGACTTATTGTCTTTGGTTTGTTCACAAATTTAGCAAATTTTCTATTAATTCAAAATTTACTTAGTATTTTTTATCTTGATTATTTGCTGTAGTAAGGTTCTATAAAGCTGAAAAACTCAGTGAAAGATTGTGGTCTCTGATCCTGGAAGCCCACATTTTAGAAGACACCAAAGATAATTATGGGCAAGGACTGTGGACCTGAAAGATCACTTCAGTTGCTGTAAATATACTGACTAATTGGAAAAGGTAGATTTGAATTTGTGTTCTGATACTCGCATAATCCAGGGTTTGCATCTCTTTGGACCAACCAGCTTGATCCAAGTTCATGCTTGGTTTATGAGATATTTCACTAAGTCTACCATGGTGTGTGGATTTTGAAAAGACAATTAGAGTTAATTAAATGGTGAGGTATTGAAGTGTCATGAAAACCACTTGTTTCCAGTTATCAAAACCAGCTTGTTTCCAGTTATCAAATTCAGCATTGTAAATGTAATGGCAATAACGAAATGAAGAGAGTTAAATTTGCTGTTTAGTTTGACAGCATCTTGCTTGAGATGAGAGAAGGTAAAAAGAGATTTCTACTAATCTAGCAGAAATTTGCATTGAGTACATATGGAAAGTTAAACTCGGCAGTCATCGTGAAGCTGTATAGGTTGTTTTCAACTTGCTCCAGATGACGTTGAGACCTCTGCCAGATACCGCAGCTCTGAGTCACGTTTTGATTTGCACACAGAAATTATTATTTTCTAATAGTTAAGATATTTTATTAGCAATGCAGCAGACAGGCAATGTTAAAGGGGTAACAAAATTATTAAATGGGAAGATTTGCCATCCTTACATATTGATGAGTTGGGGCTTAGATGCAAATAGACTAGGCCCTGACTTGACTGCCTGAGACAGTGGTGCTGCCCCCAGCTGCGTTCC